TGGGAGCCTACCAGGGTCCGAAGACCCCGCCGGCATCGCCTCGCACTTCACGGGACCTACTAGAGAACGACAGGAGCACCTCTTTTAGTGGACTTGTACCACAGGCAGGGGATACCGTGGCTTTATTCCGCCCCGCAGCCACACAGCGGATTTTTTATAGTGGTTTACTCCTCACGGGCCAGTCGGTTAAGGCAAACCCCCCGTTCCTGCGAAACATGATCACAGGCTTACGGTGTGAGTCAAGGCTCGGACCCCTGGGATCGCTAGCCCGTGGAAGAGGTGCCATACAGGCCTTGTTCCCCCTGGGATCGCCGTTCTCCCGTCAGCATAGAGGCCCTCACCCTTGGGTAGCCGATCACAGAAGCAATCGACTACCGAAGGGCATAGAGTGCCTCTATCCTAGCGGACACCACGTGGAGGTGGGAGATCCGACTTGTGCCACACCGGCACCATTCGCCCGCCATTATAGCTATACCTAACATTCTATTAACTATATCTAACTCGCAACATATAAAACATATATATACATATACAGGCTGTCCACACCTAAATATGACAGCGCAATATTTCATGAACTATTGATCACACAAGAAAGTGTTTATAAGGAAATTGCAGAATAAAAGGGGCTCTATGTATTGGTGTAAACAACATTTTTTTAATGTTATTAATGTAAAGGATATGATGGTGAAGTTTCGTTTTTTAAATGGAACTATAAACAGTAAAGACTGGATAACTGTAACAAAATCGGGACCCAAGCGTTGCAGTTATCGAGTCGAGGTGTCGATTTTGTGTTTACATTTGGTGACGGATCGGTGGGGGGAAAGCCCGAAGGGGGTTCCCTGGAGTGGGGGCAATTAGGGAAAGAAAAAAAAAGGAGGCAATCAACCCAGTGAAAATATGCCTCGTTACAATTTATGTAACGTCCCCGGGAACATCACATTAAATCCTGTCGATGAATAAAGAATAAAAATTCGCGTGGTAATGGGATGGGGTAGTTCACGCGTGCAACATTGTTTAGAGTGGATCACCGATCGATGGCGCGCGCGTTAGTCAGAAAAAGACAGGAGATATACTTCGAAACGAAGTTATTATAAATTATTATTTAGATGTTTATATTATATATATTATTAATTATTCACTCATTATAAATTGCGTTATATTTTTAGCTATTATTTTATGTATTGCTTGCGATTAATTATTTCTTCTATTGAAACACTTATAATTTGCGTATCTAAATATTATTAAAAACACGATTTAACGGGAAAACTTGTGAAAAACTAATTAATAATAAATCAGAGCGTATTTTTATTAATCAAACTAATATATATTTGCTACTAAATAAAGCGTAATAAATGAATAACTACTTTTTGAGCGGGAAAAACCCATGATTCTCTGGGTATAAAAGGGCGTGCAGCAGAGGCTGCGAGCGCAGAACAATCTTTGAAGTACTACGTGCAGGACCTCTTAGGAAGCAACGAACTGGAGCAGTTTTAACTGGTAAGAGCCTACAAGATTCTTAGTTTTAACTGGACAGCGGGTATCAGCTATTTGGATACTCAATCGTTGGGTAGTTCTAGTAGCCAGCTAACGCAGGCTCCCCAATTAAGCGATCTGGTTTTGGCTGTCAGTGTTCGTTTGGACTAAAAGGGTCATGGACAATTAGTTGTCGAGTCGAATTATTAAAAGAGTAACTGTTCCGAGGAAATAATTCATTAGATTCAAATAAATTTTGGGAATTTGAGTTAATAAAAGAATACTGTTCTGACTCTAGCGTAAATTCTGTAGTCGACTACACCGCGTCAGATAGTAGATAAAATCTGTCTAATTTTGCGAAAGCGTATTTAGGCACACTTAGAGAATCACACTTAGGTCGGATTCCTCGCTGCGGTAGACTATAAAGCTCTAATATTATTTAATTTCGTCAAAGAACATTTATATAAATTACAACCGTACAAATCAAGCTAAATTCTGTCATTGCGATAGCTTCGAAGATGAGAATCAAATACATACATAGAATATCAAATTTAGTTAATTTTATAAAAGCGAAGTTAGCATTATCAAAGATCAGACTTAGGTACAATTCAATATAAAGTATTAACTAGCGAGTTTCTTTTTTGTTAATTCCATAATTATCTATTACGAGTTCTATTATTTCTATAATTATTATTATTATTATCAAACCTATTTAATTTCTTTGTTCTAACTGATCATTTATAATCTATATATCTTTCTTTATTTTGTTGTTATTATTATTTGTTAGTTTCATTTTTTTTTATCGTTTTATCGAATAAATCTTATTGTTGAAAGATATTGACTTGTGGATTTCACTCAACCGCACACCACACGAATCTCACATTCTTTAGATTTAGTTATTTGCGAAAACGAATCGTTCAGTGCGTAAAAGCCGCTCTTTACCTTCCTAGCGCTTGTAACATCTGAACTTACAATTAGGTTCCAGAATCGTTACAAATGTATCAATAGCAGGAACTAAAGCAGAACTCATAAACCATTTAACTGAAGCAGATCCTTCTGTATTTGTGATAGAAAAACTAATGAAGTTATCGAAGGGCTGTCCGAAGGATTGAAAAGTGCGAGTGATGCAATGCTACTCCGAAGGCATCTAGAGTTGATGGAAAAGGAGAAGGAGCTTGTCCAACACGACTTGGCGCAGAAACGGATGCAGGAATTAAACGTTGTTCGAGAATCCAAACAAAGAGATAGCGCAAACCGTTAGAACCGCGAAAAATACACTTTTTCTAGGCACCGTTTCACAACAGCAGCAAAAGTCGTTGGCGGTGTCTTGTTTTTCTAGCCTAGCTGTTGTCGCGACTCCAACCGTCAAACCGACGCACGGCAACAGCTAGGCCAATCAGGCGACCCGCGGAACTCCACGCTTTGTTTGGATCCTCGAACTGCCGCAACGGAGAAAAATTGAATGCTCCAATCGCGGAATACCGGCGAGTACATATAAGAGCGTGAGACCCTTGGGCGTTCTACTGATTTACGAAGACTCACGTTAACATAATCACGAACCAGCATCTCTGCGAGATTTAATCCCGTTCAAAGTGACTTAGCTAAGCGCGACTGCGTCGCCCAATAAAAGACAATTCATTTCATTTTGAACTTATATATATATATTTTTTATGTGCCGTTCAATAAAGTGTACAGTTAAGTTTTCGTCGTGTAATCGTGAGTGTACAAAGTCATACGTGAATCTAACTTTTAAATAAACTTTGTTAATTGTCCATTTGCACTTTTCTTGCACCCGAAAACCAATCCCACGTTATCTAGCTCAGCGCTGAGCTTTCCGGCAATTCGACTACACGACATCTACGTCGAAACAAACGTAACAGAGGAAACAAGGGTAACTTCAAGTACGGATCCTGGTACATCAAACGTGATGAGTGTATCCCAGGGACAAAATTTAAAACATATTGCTGAGTTCATACGACGAAGAACTTTCACATTATGATATCTGGGAACGACAATAAACCTCTTGCGAGATACATATCATCTGAGTGAAGATAATGCTAGGATCCTAATCGGAATTAAATTACGCGGTAAAGCTCTAAAATGGCTACATTCTAAGCCAGAATACATTACGATGCCCGTGTGGGGACTCCTGCCTGATTTGAGAGGCATGTTCAGATATGAGTCCAATATCCTTGCGTTGCGAAAGTAATTCGAAGAAAGAACACGGAAAAGAGAAGAGACGTTCCACAGCTACGTAAAGGAAAAGATAATCATGGCGAATCGAATATCAATTCCTGAAAGGGAAATCGTGGTGAACTGTTTCGTATTGTAACCGGTGAGCACAGGCGATCCGGAATTCACCTCAAGACGAAAACAAACCATTTCGTCTCCCCGCAACCCTGCTGTATTTAAACCCAACGGCAATGTTTTTCTTCCGTCGCGTTTCCGTTAGCATTGTCGTTAATACGGTTATTGGCTCCTATCGCATGGTGCGCCGGATTAGCGACAGCTGATTGGTTCGTGACGTCATGGAACCGTTTCCGAATTCAGATGATCGTCTAGCTCTCGCCGGTTAGAAGACAACGGAACCTCGAGTACGATACATTCTCGCGATTACCGACCCGACAGTGCAATTAGTCACTCCCCAGTAACAGTTAATTAATTTTTCAATTCTTTCTTTCCCGTGTGTGAGTCGTCCTGCTCTCTGTGTGTGCGTGTTAATATTCAGTGTGTCATTAAATATTAGTATTAAATATCGTGAAAGCAAACAACTGAGTTCAGCTCATTGAAGGAATCTCCACCATTCCTGCATTCCCAAACACGAACCTTATTCAAGATATCCCGGATTCGCAGCTTCGCGACTGTTTCGTATTGTAACCGGCGAGCGCAGGCGGCCCTGAATTCACCTCAAGACGAAAACAAACCATTTCGTCTCCCCGCATCCCTGCTGTCTTTAAATCCAACGGCAATGTTTTTCGTCCGTCGCGTTACCGTTAGCATTGTCGTTAATCCGGTTATTGGCTCCGATCGCACGGTGCGCCGGATTAGCGACAGCTGATTGGTTCGTGACGTCACGGCGCGTTTCCGAATTCAGGTGATCGTCTAGCTCTCGCCGGTTAGAAGACAACGGAACCCCGAGTACGATACATCCTCGCGATTACCGATCCGACAGTGATATTAGTCACTCCCCAATTACAATTAATTAATTTTTCACGTTTTTCGTCTCCGTGTGTGAATCGTCTTGTTTTCGGTGTGTGCGTGATAATACTCAGTGTCGTTTGTGTTAAAATTAAATTTAGTTAAGAACAATCGAGTTCCGTTCATTGA